CTCAAAATGCTTCATTTCCCAAGCGCTTGGATGTGCTTGTCGGTACAAGTGCTTCATAGCCATGGTCAGAAGCCATTTTTACACATATCTAATATGTATATACACATACCAACACAGGTCACTATCCAGTCATGGATTGCCCACCTTTCACCATCCTCTTTGTTGGTCCCGGAGGTTTCTGGCGTTGAGTTTGGGTTTTCTCGACACGCCAAAGCGTTGGTTCAGCGGCTTGGCTCAGCCCCGGAGGTGTTCAGTGGGATGGGCCGGTGGGACATTTTGTGGTGGATTTATGGTGATTTAATGGTGATCTTCATGGGATATAATGGATGATATATATGATATCACTGACCATCTATGTATGGTCTACCTTCGGTAATTTAACATAGCTGACCTATAGCTATGGAAATTCACCGGTGTTAAAAGGGAAATCGGAAATCATCTATAAATGGCTCATGTTCTGTAGTTGTCTTGAATTACCAGACGCTTTTTTTTCTCCAAAAGTCGTCTACGATGGGAGCCACTTGGAAAATGACCGCCAGACTGCCAGGCATCAGATTCGCAACGTCAGGTGATCTCATCCCCAATGGCAATCAATCATGGCTTGTAAATCCCTATTGCAAAAATGAAGGTTTTGACGTCAGGAACATGATTTGTTAAGTATGGATGGATTTTCCAGCGAAGCATGTTTGATTAGTTTGATTTTATCATAGGTATTTCATATGGTATAATTTTAAAAACATACCGTATACCAGTACAATTTTTATCAAATCTTCAATGTTTTCTTCGTTGTGAAGATATTAGTGAAGGCCAAGTTGGCTTGCGATGATCCCAGCAGACCAATGTGAGGATTTTTCACTCACGAACCAAGGAGAACCGATTTTTATACAGGACACAGTACTTATACACCATATACACAGCCATATTTAGTTCTTGATTTCCGCATAGTTTCCCAATGTTGTAAAGTTTTGTCCCTGGTTTCCAGCGTCGTTTGGGCTGGTTCTCTCTCTCTCTCTCTGATTTGGCCATCCCTGTGGCTCAAAAATGAGAGTTGCATCTCAGCCGTGCAGCATTCATTGTGATTTTCAAGAATTAAATCAATAACAGTCATTCTATAATATACTGGTTGGTGGTTTGGAACATGAATGGATTATTTTTCCCATCATATTGGGAATTTCATGATCCCAACTGACGAAGTCCATCATTTTTCAGAGGGGTAGGTTGCAACCACCATCCAGTATTTCATGATGGCTATTACTCTATTCTACAATCATGATGGTGATATGGGTATGGGTCAATACCTATAGATACATTTTTAGTGGGTTATTCACATCCATGAATCCCAGCTATTTTGGGGTGAACAGAAGGTACCAGGGTTTTGACCCATCCCCATATTTCAAGATTTCACCAACAATACTTCTATGGCTTTGACATGTTTATGGCTGGTAAATCCCCATATCACCGACGCACCTTTCCTGGTATCCTCCGCCGAGGTTATGCCAGCGACTTTATCATTTGGGGGATCTACCAGGTGGAAAATAAGGGCCATCGCGGCTAAAACATGGAGGTTTTTTCAAGGGAAAACATATGAAAACAGGGGACACATTAAATTTGGAGATTTTCCAAGATTTTCCAACCTAAGCCGTGTTTGAATACAATTGTTTATCCTCAGTGGTGAATGGAGGCAGCGGTGAGCTGAACAAAAATGGTTATCCACATGACCGAAAATAGCATGGGGAGCCAGTTAAAGCGAAAATTCCCCGACCACGTGATAGCATTGATCCTCATTTGGTAACCATTTCCTTCTATGAGTTTCCCATTTCTTTCAAGGTCCTACTTTTGGCCACGGGGATTTCGCAGCCATGGCAATCCACGAACGTGGGGAATCAGCCTGAGTATTACTATGGGGCCATGAAATTCTGTCCGTTGTGTGGAATGGCTGATATATCATTAACATATTAATGATATATATAAGGATATATTATATAGTTATATATGATAATTAATGATTTATAATAGTTTGTTCTTTTCCCCAGAAAACATGTCCTCCAAGAACTGAATAGGGGCATCTAAGCGTTGCGCTTTGCGCATCTTTTCGCCAAGTTCGCTGGGTTGCACCAGAAGTTGCCGCAGGTCATTCCCGGCGAGAAGCTCTTTCCTGCGCGGTTAGGACCAGGTGACCCACAAGATGTGGAAAAAGCTGAGGCGCCTGGGGTGGATAGGTACGAAGACTTCCCTTCTGAAGTGCTAACATTATGGGGTAACTTCATGTAACTTTCCATTTCTATGGGGATTCAAATGAGCTTCAGGGTACCACGGTCACTACGGGTGGGTTAAGGAGGTATCCGGATGTCACCAGGGCTTAAAGCATCTGGGTAGCAGTCTGAAAATAGGGTAGCCCATTCCATCCACTTATGTTCATCACTTTCCGTATTAAAGTGCCCATTTTATGGTATACTCTCTGGTACTCAAACGTGCTTGCAAGACCCACCATCAATTTCGATGATTTTCAGACTAATATCATCAAATACCTCTATCTTTATAGTGGATGTTCTACTTTGTGAACCCATGAAATCAGATAAATCTGCAGTGATTTCCCAGCTTTTTTCCGATTTTTTATGATATTTCATGGTGGATGCCCACGTTGACACCACGAGGCCTCCTGGCCGCAGATGCGGCAACTGGTGAAGTACCTCAGCACAGCAGCATGGCCTTCAGCGGCGATGGATGATGTGGGCCAGGGATTGGACAATTTGGACACCTCCATATGAGGGTTTTCAAAAATGGGGATACTCCCAGTTCGCTGGATGGTTTATTTCATGGAAAATCCATCAATGGATGAGAACTAGGGGTAGCCCTATTTGAGGAAACCTCCATATTGGAAATTGATTTGGAATAGCATGGGCAGCAGATATCATTTGCTGTATAATTTGTATATCTTGAATGGGAGTATATACGGGGATATTGGGAATGTTCATTGGAATAAGCTATAAGAAGCTGTGGTATATCAAATTGTAAGATGGGGAAATATCTTGGGAATCCTGCAAGCAGCAATGGGAATCTGTTGGGGATATAAAGATGGGGAATTTAAACAGCGGATTTTAAGGGATGTGATGTTTTTTTGAGGGTCGTATAATGTTTGAAGCAAGCATGTTATGATAATTTAAGCAAAAGACACGGGTATATAATGGGAATATCATAGGGTATCATTGGTATCATAGAGTATATGTTTATGTTACATTTGTAAACCCCGAACAACGGGGATAGGTTTTGGGGACATTAACGGGCATAATTTTAGGGATCTATTGAGCCAACGCAAAGAACATCCAAGAACCAGATCCCAGAGATTGAAGAATTCTGGGGCTTTGTCCCTCGAGAAAATGTGGGAACTTGGCAATTTAGTAGGAGAAATAGAGATACCCTGGGCTAGCAATCCACCATCACAATAGATTATTTTCTCATTAATTAAACGATCATTTATAGGGGAGTTCCAATTGCTATGTTTGATCACCAGAGGATGAACCTTTGGGATTTTTAGGGCTTGCCTATTTTCAACCAAACCCAAGTGCCCAAGATGTTGTGTTTTTTGTTGAGAGTCATGAAAAATTCAGCAGTGGGACCCATCATGATATTTCTTCTAGCTAGTTGATATCGTGATCTTCGGATTTGGTGACGAAATTATCCACTTCTCTTGGGCCCCCCTTTCCCGTGGCCAGTAAAATACCCCATGGCATACCCATACTATGAGTAGTCTTTACCCAGAGATATTGTATGTATATATATATATATGTATATTGGTGTTACTATAGAACTATACTTTTTACATTCTCATACTTATTGCAAAATCATAAAGTGATTGGTGTTACTATGTTTATATACATATATATACACATATATACATATATATATACATATATATATACATATATATATGTTTGTTATTTTCACCCCAATGATGGCTTTCATACTAATGTTAACATCCTTAAATATAGTTTGTAAAGCAATAGTACACCATCCCCAAATTCATCATATGAATGGATTCTATAAATCATCAACTGATATCGGTGGTTCGTCATTTCTTTTTGTTCCATTGTTCAAAGATATCTCATTTCACGTTTTGTTTGTTTGTGAAAACATGTCCTTCATTGCTGAACAGAACTTTTGAATGGCATCAGATGGACGATGATGCAGCAAAATCAGAGGTAGATCCACGTCATTCATGAGTCGTTCATGATCTGGTTGGTGGTTTGGAACATTTGGATGATTTTTCCATTCAGTTGGGAATTTCATCATCCCAACTGACCAACTCCATTATTTTTCAGAGGGTAGGTATACCACCAACAAGTGATACTCTGGCACTTCCTGTGACCATGTTCCATTTCGATGCCCTGAGCTGGACATAGCATGTAATGTATTTTGGAGAAGCCTCAGCACTACAGAGAAGCAATTCTTGGAGAGATACACGGCACAACACCCAGGGCTAGCATGCTCCCTGCACCAGAACCCGGACTACGGTTTAATCCACAATTTGGTGGGGATTTGATGAATGAAACAACAAACAAGACCATACCAGGTCTGTTATGGGTGACCTGCTTATACTATGAGTCATGATGCTATTACATTCTCATACCATAGTAATTAATTCACCATTAATATCCTAAGAACCATAGCTTTAATACCATTGTTAATATCTTTATATAGTATCATACCCATTCATACCCTATACTATACCATAGTACTATGGTTAAATACCCTAATGGCTATATCCAAGTTTTTTTCCTTACTGTAATATACCGTAATACATGTGGTGATATCCTCAATATTTCCAATGTTTGATGTTCCATTTCCAATGATGGGTTTCATACTTTGGTTATCCTTATATGGTTCATAAGACAATAATACACCATACATGGTAAATGATGTTTAAAAAAAACTATGGTTGATATGTGTTAATATAATTCAATATCCTTATAAACATATCCTTTTATACAAGATGTGATACCTAAACCAACATTATCCCCAATACTATACCATAGTACTGTGGTTAAATACCCTATATAATGGATATATCCATGGTTATACCCTTACTATACCTTAACTTAACACCCATGGTTATATGCTTAATATAGACCATTACCAACACCCTTTTACTTTCAAACTATTCACCATGGTTAGTAGTTAAATTCACCATTCACCATTCAATCTCCTTGTTTGATATTCAATTTCCAATGATGGGTTTCATACTATGGTTCATGTCCTTATATAGTTAGTAATGCAATAGTACACCATACATGGTAAATGATGTCTTTCATACTATGGTTGATATATGTTAATATCCGAAATATAACCACAAAATATATCTATGAACTACAATTATATGTTAATACTAGTTTATATACTTAACTATACTTAACACATAGTTAATACTCGTTTATACATAGATTAATAGATATGTATATATATCCCAAGTACTATACTATAGATTAAACAAAGTTAATATCCTTATACTAATACCTTAGATATATAGATATATCCCTTATACATAGTACTCTGCTTAAATACCCTAAAATGGATATATCCATGGTTACTAGTACTATACTGGTTGGTGGTTTGGAACATGAATGGATGATCTTTCCATATCTTGGTTGCCATGGTTCCTATATCCCAATGGCACCCCAAGGCTCGCATCCCCGACCGCCTCCGCGCCGCCTGCGCCGCCGACGCGCTCGGCGCGGCGCCCGCGCCGCTGGCGCCGCTGGCGGCGCAGCTGCTGCGGAGCTGCGCCAAGGCGCTGCCGAAGGCCACGGAGCTGCCGGTGACGTGGCGGACCGGGGTTGGGGATGGGGGGGTGGAACGAATGTGGAGATCTATGTATCATTTATTTATTTATAATATATATATATATATGTATATATTATTTAGATATATATATATTATATAAATATAAATATACATATTTTTATCTATAGAGAAAGGGAGACATGTGTTTTTTAGGAGAGTTTGAATGATTTTGATTGATTTCAGGGGGTGGGGATTGTGAAATATGGGAATCGTGAGGATTTAAATGATATGTTAATGATTTTAGCCGAATTCAAATGATTGCAAATGACTGTCAATGAATGAATTTTGAGATCGTCGTAAACATATTCTTTGTAATCCTTAGGAATCGGGGGTCAGCCATTTTCAGTGGTTGGAAAAAGGTGAATCCAGTTGGCAAATCCACATCACGATGCTTTGCTGGGTGCCATTACTATAATATATATATATATATTACCATGTGCCAGTGAAAGCCAAGATCCTTGGATGATTGTGCACGTGGTAGTCGGTTTTTGGAGTTCAGGTCACAAGAGTGGGTCCCCTGATTGAATTGTAGTGAAATTGTCAGAGTTTGCTCAAAGATGTTTTTGCATTGGAACCATGGGAGTTGGGATTGGACTCCTGCTGCTGGTGTGGTTTAACGATCTAAGGATTGTTGGTTTTGGGAATGATTCTAAGAGACCAAGAATGTTGTGAAGCTTGGGTGCTGAGTAGCTGCTCTATCTGCTTTTGGTCTCACCCCGATGTTTTTTTGTTTGATTGTCATGGTTGCAAGCTATCGGCGTTGTTTGAAAGATCCCACTCACATAGACGTCCCAGTAGCACAGGAGGCATCATGGGAATCAAGGATTGAATGGGGGGGATGCCAACTCAAAAGCGAAGCAAGTCCCAGAGGTACAGGCATTTGACAGTTGTTCCTGCGTTGAGAAAATACAGTCGTACCTGTTCGGACAAATCGTGCCTTTAGCAAGAACGCATAGAAACTCTGGAGTCTAGATATGGAATGTGTTTTCTTTTGAGATCATGTGACTCATCATTATTGACATGCAGTTTTCCATGTTTGGGGTATCTTGGTTAGTCACACATAAGACAGTGTTGAGGTCCCAGGTGGTGACATGTATTCTGGTTGAAATCCCCATTTTATATCTCCCCTTTAGGATCTCCCCATAAGATCTTCATGGAAATCCCCATCACATCAATCACATCCACCATGTTTTGCTTCGCCGTTTTGCTTCGCCGTCCCCGAGGCCATCGACGGTGAATGGGAATGCGCCTGCGACTACTTCCGCAATGGCTCAGTGATCTTCGTCCCGATGCGACTGAAGGGAGCTCGAGGTGCGGAACCGCCAAACGACTGAGAAGTTGTCGGTGTAGTTCACTCCAATAACTAGGCTATCTAGAGGGGGTATTAATGGGGGTATAATGTATTATAATGTGGTAAGCAATGTCACCAACCA